TCCAGGCACTGATCCCTCCTGCCACTGCCCTCGCAGGAAGGGGATGCAGATGGGGTTGCTGGGTGCAGGCTGTGACATACCTGCACCCCCTGGGTGCATTTCCAGGGGGAAGTGTGGGTCTCCCCTTCTCTGCTGGTGCCCCTTTCACCCACAGCATCTCTCTGCCAACACGGACGTGTGTTCTCTAGCACCAAAGAGCCATGAGTAGGGTTGGTTTGTTTCGTTCCCCTCTTCTCTTTCCCTTTGCTGAAAATGAAAACATCCAGTGTCAAGCTGTCCTGGACCTGCCACAGGCGCTTCCAGGGTCTGTAATAAAGTGGATGCTTTTCCTCCATGCTGCCTGCTGCCTTTCCTGACCGCCAACCTGCTGTCCTTGCTGGGCAGAGGGCTGCCCCTAGCTATCCTACGCTGCAGCAGCCCTGCTCATCACCCATAGTCCCCATCACAGCAGTTGTGGGGACTGTCCCCTGCTGCTCCCAGCTGCACTGCCAGCTGCACCCCAAGCATTCACTGTGGGGAGAAAGGACTGGGGCACTGCCTCTCCTCCTGACCCAACTGCCACCTCACCCTGTAATGTTCAGTGCCGGAACACTTTCCCCAGCAGAGCACAGCCCCTTCCCTGTCCCAGTGCCCCCGGTGCCCCTGCCAGCCCAAGGCTTGTTCCCAGTGTGCAGCCCAGCACCGGGGCCAGCAGAAAGGGGCAGGGGGTCTGGCTGTCCCTCGTGGGGAGATTTACCCTCTCTGGCTTGGAAAGGTCTCGGTTAGTCCTCATCCAGTGATTGACAGGAGATTATTTATAAATATTTTGTGCTCTGAGTGATAAAATATTAAACTCCTCCAGCCCACATGGTAAAATATTGCTCTTCCCGGTGTTTATTGCTGGTTATTACAAAACAGCCAAGCCCCCTGAAATATTCATGCCCAGCTGAGTCTGTGGGTACTGGAGACAGACAGCAGCTCCTAACCCTGCTTGTCCCCTAACCCCATGGAAAACGGAGGGTGAGGGGATCTTAGCTGCCAGAAACGCTGGAGCAGCAGCAGCCAGGATGCTTCCTGGTGGGATGTGGTTGCTGCTGGGTGCCAGGACCATATGAGCCGGGCTGGGAAGTGGGGTTTTGGCTGTGCTGGTCCCACTCTGCTCTCCCCCCAGCAAAGGCACCTGGTGCTGCCAGAGCCCCGCTCCATCATCCAGTGCTGGTGCTCCAGCCTGGTGCTGTAGGAGATCCGAGGTGGGGGCCTTGTTGTGGATGTCCTAGGTTATATCTCCACATCTGGCTTGTGCCCCAAAACCCGGGTTATGCCCACAGTTCAGGACTGCTGGGAGTTGGGGCCAGTCAAGCTGCCGGCACAACATTGAGGGGAGGGAGAGGGGCGGGGGGGGGGCGGGAATACACGCAGCAAAGTGGGATGCTGGGCATCCGAAGGGCTACGAGAAGAATTTGGGCAAACGGTGGAGTCCGTCGAGGTGTCGAAACCACAACTGCACCCCGAGCCGCCCCCCTGGAAGCTCTGCACTGCGAATTGGAGAGGGGCACCCGGGGAGCATCACCCAAGGTTTGGCGCTTGGGTGCCGGGCGTGGGCAGCGGGGCTGCAGCTCGGCGGGGGCGGCTGGGGGCGCGGGAGCCGAGCTGCTCTCCGGACCGTCGCTCGGTGTCTCCACGGTGCCGCCCGCCCTGCCCGTGTCCCGACCGCTGCCCCGCGGGGTGCCGCTGCCCGGGGCCGGGCCGGGGCGGGGGCCGGGGGCGGAGCGGCTCCGCCGGGCTGGAGCTGGCGGAGTGTCAGAGGCGGCGGCGGGAGGCGGGCGGCAGCAGCAGCTCCGAAGAGACAGCGGCATCGGCACCGGCATCGGCACCGGCTCCCGGCGCAGCCCCACCGGGCCCAGGTAAGGGCTGCGGATCCCGCGTCTCCGCCGTACTCGTTCCCGTGGTCTCGGGCCGCCCGAGCTGCCGTGCCCGGAGAGCGGGGGGTCGGCCGCTCCGGGAGCCGTCGGGTCCGCGGCACCGCTGTCAGTGCCGGGAGTCGGGGTGCGGAGGGAGAAGAACGCAGGCGGGGGGCCGGCACCGTGCCGGGGGCCGCGGGTTCACCGGGAGCTTCGCTGCGAGCCCCGGAGAAGATGCCGTGGTCACCAGTCGTCCGGCTGCGGCTCCGGGTGCGCGGCGCCGGGGCGCGGAGGTGACAGCGCGGCAGATGCGGGGACAGCCCCCGCCTGCCCTTCGCTCGCTGCTCCGGGTCCCTGGGGTGCTTTGGGCCGGCTGGGTGCACGGCTGACACCGCATCTTCCCCGAGCGCACGGGTGCTGCCGCGGGGCAGGGGCACCCTGACGTTCTGCCAGCCGTTCTTTGCGTCCTCCCCTCCTGCTCCCGCCGTGGCTGCAATGTACGGGTCGACCCAAAGGGAGGAGGTTTTGGAGGTGCTTCCAGGTGTCACCCTGCTCCCGGCGTTGTGCACACGCGTGTGTGGCCGCATGGCATGCGTGTGCTGCAACGTGCCGCTCTTGTACACACGTGTGGACTCGTGCAGGGCATGGCCCGTTACCCGCGTGCTGCAGGCATGAGCACACGCAGTACCCCTGCATGGGTGTGCCTGCAGAGTGCATGGTGCTGGTGTGCAAGAGTGCAGAGTGCAGGTGCTGGTGTGCAAGCCCCCACGCAGTGCTTGCCCATGCACCTTGCACGGGTGCACACCTGCATGCACAGTGCTGAGCCCAGGGCAGGGTCCTGGCTGCAAAGCTCCATGTCACAGCTGGGCGAGCATCCCCTCCTGAAAGCAGGGCAGCAACCAGGGTCCTCCCTGCGTCTGCAGGTGTCAGGGTGCTCTGGGGAGCACGGGACCAACTGTGTGATGTAAACATCCCTGATTGCTGATGCTTTCAGGTAGAGGGAGGCTGCAAGCAGATGGGTGCTGGCAGAGCCTTCCCAATGCACCGTGGCCACTGGGACAGCTGTGGCTCTGCCCAGCTGGGTGCTCTGCACCCCCAGATGTTCTCCAGATGTTCCCAGGGCCGGTTTCCCCCCAGCACCGTGTCAGCCCAGTGAGCAGCTCCAGGTATGGCCGCAGCCATCTCTGCCTCCCTAATGGAGCTGATGATTTTGGGAGCACCTTTTGGGAGAGCTGAAGGTGCCCTTCCTCTGATGGGTCTCACCTGGAGCCCCCCGTGAGCTGTGGCCACCTGGGGCTGGGGCTGTCAGGCTGAGGGGGTCCCCTTCTTTCACAGCCCCTGAAGCCTTGGCCCTGTGGGATTCCAGCAGCTGACTTTAAATGGGAAACAAATCTCTCTCATGGTGTGGGAAAAGACAACTCATCTCTGAGGGGACCTCATTTACTGCCAAAAAAAGGCCTGTCTGTTGCAAAAGCCTTTGATTCCCCAGCTCCTCCGTGGTTTATGCAGAGGAAGCCAGCAAACCTGGCTCTTACTTCTACTGAAATCTCTGAATTTAGTGTACGAGGAAGGAAGGGGCGGTGGTGAGAGAACAGCCTCTAGAGCACTGCGGGATGGAGCTGGCACCCAGTGGGGATGGGGCTCGGGGGCTGGATGGGGTGGGAGCATGGCTGTGCCCCTTGCATTGGGATGGAGCAACTGGCCATGGCCAAGCAGGTGGCACTGGGGTCGGAGGGCTCTGATCTGGTATTGAGTCTGGCTCAGTCCCTGCTCTGGGTGATGTCCCAGCCCCTGGGTGACATCCCTGGCTCTTTTCCCAAAGCTATCCCCCACTAGGCTGCACTGCCTGGAAGTGCTGCAGCACTGACTGCCTGCCTCTCCGCACGTGCCAGCTCATCCCGGGGAGCTGGGCAGCCAGGGTGGCCCTGCGTGTCTGCCCACATCTGTGTCACTTGCTACATCCTGCAGATCCTGGGTTGCTGCTGGAGCTGTCACATCTGCTCAGCTCTCTCGTGGGTATCCTTCCTGGGGGGGACGTGGGCTGGTGGGGGCACAAAACACCTGCATGCTGCCCTGGCTCAGCCACCCCAAGCATCTCCTCACAGCTCCCAGGTGGACAGCCCAGCTCATCCCACGATCTGCCAACCCAGCACCTCTTCCCTTTGCCTTTCCAGGTGCTGAAGGCTCCACCAGGGTGGCAGACCCCCTGCCACCACCACGCTGCTCCGTCCTCGATGCCAGGGCCCTGGCTGCCCTCACCTTAACAGGCAGTGCTGGGTGACATGGGGCGTGCGGATCCCCAGCCAGCACCAGCACACCCCATGGCGGTCCCCATTGCTGCCTGGCTCTGGCTGATGCACCTGGCCTCCTGCCTGGCTGCTGGGCACGGCTCCACCCACAGCAAGAAGGAGATCAGCACTGAAGGGGACCTGGTCATTGGGGGGCTCTTCCCCATCCATGAGAAAGGAGTGGGGAGCGAAGACTGCGGCAAAATCAATGAGCACCGGGGCATCCAGCGCCTCGAGGCCATGCTCTTTGCACTGGATGAGATCAACAAGGACCCAAGCATCCTGCCGGGGGTGAGGCTGGGTGCCCACATCCTGGACACCTGCTCCAAGGACACCTATGCTCTCGAGCAGTCACTCGACTTTGTCCGTGCATCCCTGACCAGAGTGGATGGCTCCGAGCACATCTGCCCTGATGGCTCCTATGCTGTCCATGATGACGTGCCCACAGCCATCACTGGTGTCATCGGGGGCTCCTACAGCGATGTTTCCATCCAGGTACCACTTGCAAGATAAGAGCCAGGGCTGTGGGCAGAAGTGGCAGAGGGCATTTACTGGCTGTAGGGTTGCCAAACCTCAGCCCTCACCAGGTGGGAACGTCCTGGAGCTGGGGAGCATGGAGCCCATCCCCTTCCTCAGCCCTACTTCTCTGCTGGGCTGTGTGTCAGGGAGCTCAGCATCTGCTAAGGAAAACACCCAGTCCAGGCTGCTTAGGTCCCATGCCATGGGATGCTGCCCCATCCCCAGCAGCAGCAGGGGGGCATTAGCCCCTCAGATGGAGCCACGTGTTTGGTGCTGTGGCCCCACCGGCCACAAACACAGGGGTCAGCACCCGTGCAGGTGGCCATCCCTCCGTGGGGATGGTGCTTTATTCACTCTGGGCTCCACAGTCACTCGGAATACCCAGGACAATGTCAATGTGCAGATCCACATCCTTGGTGCACTTTCCAGCCTGGCGCTGCACGTACTCCCTCCAGCAAGTCTGGATGGTGCGGGCGGCCTCCTGGCAGCGTTTGTACTCTGTCCGCATCACCCACGCCCGGACCTGAGCCTGCAGCAGGACAATGGCTCTCTCCAGCTTGATGTACTCTGCCAGCACCCACAGGCGCTGCTGCTCCCTCCGCTGGTTGCCCACCCGTCGCCACCAGCCCTGGATGCGCCGTGCGCTGCTGGCCGCCACCAGCAGTGCCCTCCGCACCAGCTGCCCTCGCCACCACGCCTGGATGGCCAAGGCTGCGGCCGTGTCGGGGTCCGTCTGTGGAGACAGAACACGGGTGGCCTCAGTGGCAGCACCATGGGTTGGGATGGGATTTAGGGATTGGCTGTTCCCAGGGAGCTCACCTGCGTTTCCATGGGTCCCAGGTGCGTGGTTGGGTACAGAATGTTCAAGGGGGGCAGCGACACCTCCTGATGTCAGAATGGCCTTGAAAACCTTGAAAACAGGAGGAACTTGGTCCCCGGCTGCCCGATGTGATAGAGTCACCAGACAGTGACAGCCCCACATTCTTGATGTCCCCACAGCATCACTGCCCTCTGGGACTTTTGTGCCATTAGGGCGATGTGCAGCTAAAAGCATTTGTCCACGTTAATTAAGCTGTATTTCCTGCATAGGAAGCAGAGCTGCGTGCGGCCTGCGAGAGCCGTGTTTTCTAACAGTCTCATTAGCAGGGCTCCCTCCTTTTTGAAGATAACGAGGGGAAGGAGCAGCCACAGCAGTCAATCGCGGTGCCTGGCCCACAGGGCTCAGTGGGACAGTGCTCACTGTGCCCCCCCAGCCCTGCGGGCACCAGCTTTGTCCTCGCGGATGAGCATCGCTCCGTTCGCCTGCGGTGGAGTTTCAGTGTTTGCCATGAATCTACTTACTCCCCACCCTGAATCTCAGAGGGGGGAGTATAAAATATTAATAAAAAGAATAATGAGAAAAAAAAAAAGAAAAAGAAAAAGAAAAAGAAAAAGAAAAAGAAAAAGAAAAAGAAAAAGAAATGAGTGGAGGCTGCAAGGAGTAGGAACACACTGGGATTGCAGAGTGAGAAACCTCTGTGAGTAAATGACCCCAAGGCCATGTGCCAGGCATCAAGGGCTGGATGTGGCCAGGCTTTCCAGTGCTACAGCCCTTGGTGGTCATGGACGCACAGAGACCTCACCATCACCTCTTCCATCCTGTCCTCAGAAGGATGCATTACACCCCAGCTCTGGGTCAACCACAGTTCCCTGTGCTCCAACACAGGACTGAGGGCTTGGACGACCTGTGTCCATCCGACTGCTGGGCACTGGGGTCCCCCAGCCTCCAGATGGGGGTTGCCCATTGGCCAGCCACCCACCATGTCTAGGAGTGGATGCTCTCAGGAGATGCCTCTCATGGGGTCATGTCCAGCTGTGCTCACCTCTCCCCCCCATGCAGGTCGCCAACCTGCTGCGGCTCTTCCAGATCCCGCAGATCAGCTACGCCTCCACCAGTGCCAAACTCAGTGACAAGTCTCGCTATGACTACTTCGCCCGCACCGTCCCGCCCGACTTCTACCAAGCCAAAGCCATGTCGGAGATCCTCCGCTTTTTCAACTGGACCTACGTTTCCACGGTGGCTTCAGAGGGCGACTACGGCGAGACGGGCATCGAAGCTTTTGAGCAAGAAGCCCGCATGCGCAACATCTGCATCGCCACCTCGGAGAAGGTGGGACGCTCCATGAACAAGAAGACCTACGACGGCGTGGTGCGGGCGCTGCTGCAGAAGCCCAATGCCAGGGTGGTCGTGCTCTTCACCCGCAGTGAGGACGCCCGGGAGCTGCTGGCAGCCGCCCACAGAGCCAATGTCTCCTTCGTATGGGTGGCCAGCGATGGATGGGGAGCCCTGGAGAGCGTGGTGGCGGGGAGCGAGGCGGTGGCAGAGGGAGCCATCACCATCGAGCTGGCAGCGTACCCCATCCAGGAGTTCGCCACATACTTCCTCAACCTCCATCCCTACAATAACAGCCGAAATCCCTGGTTTCGGGAGTTTTGGGAGCAAAAGTTCAAGTGCAGCCTTCACATGCAGGACTGCAGCCGGTACTCCCTAAAAACGGGCAAGTTTGAGCCAGAGTCCAAGATCACCTTCGTGGTCAATGCGGTCTACGCCATGGCTCACTCGCTTCACAACATGCACCGGGCGCTGTGCCCCAACACCACCAAGCTCTGTGACTCCATGAAGCCTGTCAATGGCAAGAGGTTCTACAAGGACTTCATGCTCAATGTTAATTTTGATGGTGAGTCCAGAGGTGGAGACGGGGCTTGGCTGCACAGCCGAATGGGTGGAGGGGCAGGGAGGATCAAGAAGGTCACACTCTCACTCTAATCTTCCACCTCCTCCTTGAGGTCTCGGTCTTTCCTTGGAGACTTCAGCCACTTGCTCTGTGATTGATTTAGTCACCTCTCAGGGACTAAGCTGGAGGGAGAGCCTCAATCAGAAGCCCACAGCTCTGGGGTCAGTCAAAACCATCATCCCCTCTGGGCTGAGCCCTATGTATCACTCAGAACCATGGAGGTTTGGCAGGCAGTGACACTGCATGGCTATGCAGACCCCCCCCTGCTTTGCCCTGCAGCATAGCTAGGGGCATGGTGAGAGCATTCTGCACCACTGCTCTCACGATCCCAAATAATAATGCTGCATTCTAGGAACGAAGGGCAAGGGGACAGGAAATAGTCTCTTGGCCATGGTGGGCTGTGTCTCCCCGGTGCATCCCTGTGAGAGCGAGCGTGATCCCACACCGTGGCCACATGGGCCAGCTGTCCAGGCAGTGACCATCTCCCTTTCTCATCTCTCCAGCTCCATTCAGGCCAGCAGACACTGAGAGCGTTGTTCGATTTGACCGCTACGGTGACGGGATTGGGCGCTACAATATCTTCAACTACCACCGCATGGACGGGAGGTACCGGTACCAAAAGGTGGGCTACTGGGCCGAGGGGCTCATCCTCAACACCAGCCTCATCCCCTGGGCAGGGATGTCCATCCCAGTGTCCCAGTGCAGCGATCCATGCAAGAAGAATGAGATCAAAAGCATGCAGCCGGGAGACATCTGCTGCTGGATCTGCATCCCCTGCCAGCCCTACGAGTACCTGCTGGATGAGTTCACCTGCATGGACTGTGGTTTGGGTTACTGGCCCAATGACACCCTGAATGGCTGCTACGAGTTGCCCCAGGAGTACATCCGTTGGAAAGACGCCTGGGCCATCGGTCCCGTCACTATCTCTTGCTTGGGATTTATCTCCACTCTCTTTGTTTTTGGCGTCTTCATGAAGAACAATGACACTCCCATTGTGAAGGCCTCTGGACGGGAGCTCTGTTACATTCTCTTGACTGGAGTCCTCATGTGCTACAGCATGACCTTCATCTTCATTGCAAAGCCTTCCACTGAGGTGTGCACGCTCCGGCGCTTGGGGCTAGGCACATCTTTTGCTGTCTGCTATTCGGCCCTCTTGACCAAGACAAATCGCATCGCCAGGATCTTCAGCGGGGTGAAGGAGGGCGTCCAGCGCCCTCGCTTCATAAGCCCCACATCACAGGTGGTCATCTGCATGGCCCTCATCTCCTGCCAGCTGATCATCGTCATCATCTGGCTGCTGGTGGAGACCCCTGGGACAGGCAAGGAGACCGAGCCTGACAAGAGGTACATTGTCACCCTCAAGTGCAACAACCGTGACTCCAACATGCTCATTTCGCTCACCTACAACGTCCTCTTGATTGTCCTGTGCACGGTCTATGCCTTCAAGACACGGAAATGCCCTGAAAACTTCAATGAGGCCAAGTTCATTGGGTTCACCATGTACACGACCTGCATCATCTGGCTGGCCTTCCTGCCCATCTTTTATGTGACCTCCAGCGACTACCGAGTAAGAGCCTGAGTTCTGGGGATGTCCATGGGGCCCAACCAGAGCAGCCCGCATGACCGGGTCAGCACAGGGCTGGGAGGGTCTGGGGAAGGGCTTATGAGGGCCTCATCCTCGTTCTTACCTGGGCGTGTGACACTACCACACCTGTGACACTCACTCCTCTGCCTCCAGGTGCAGACCACCACCATGTGCATCTCAGTGAGCCTCAGCGGCACGGTGGTCCTCGGCTGCCTCTTCACTCCCAAGCTCCACATCATACTCTTCCAGCCGCAGAAGAATGTGGCCAGCCACCGCGTGGGCACGACGCGCTTCAGCATGGCGGCCGCTGGCTCCAGCCAGTCCCACGGTGAGTTCAGCTGGGCCGGGGAGGGGCAGGGGGACAGCTGGGAGGGGGACCTGCGGAGCAGGAGGTAGGGGTGCTGCAGCACCCAAGGGATCGGTCGCTGTATCCCAAGTCCACCCCAGAGCTGCTCCTGGGGGTCTGTCACTGCACTGGGATGCCCCAGGTGGGTGCTGCTGCTGCTGGATCCCCCCTCTCATAATCGGTGCCTTTCCCCACCAGGCTCGGCCTCACAGTACGTGCCCACAGTGTGCAATGGCCGCGAGGCGGTGGACTCCACGACGTCGTCCTTGTGAAGGCTGGGGGGAGGCCATGCCCCAGCCCACCCCCTCGCAGGGAGCAGCAGCCCCAGGGTAGGGGCTGAAGGAGCAGGAAGGCAGCCCCCAGCCCAGCCCCAGCATCACAGCACTCATCCCTCGTGCCCGTCAGTGGTGCGCAGCCCCATCCCCAGCTCCCTTGCACTGAGCTGCGCTGTTCATCACGCTTCGCTTGCCCTGAGCCATGCCCCACCATACCCCTCCTCCACGCAGAGCCCCACTGACAGCACGCTGCCCTCACTCACCCCACTTTCTCTCCAATGTCACAACCTTCTCGGATGAGCCAAGCATCACACCAGCCTCCCCTGCACACCCAGACCCCCACACCTGTACCAGTGGCACTTTTCCCCTTTCCTCTTCATTTTTACTCCTGGGTTTGCAGGGTCCCAGCCACGGCCCTGTCCCTGAGGAGCTCTCCATGCTCCCATCCCATGGTGGCAGAGGGACAGGAGCCTCCCCAGAACCTGCTCCATGCCTCAGGGCACTGCAGACCCCAGCAGCACCTGGAGAGGGGCTCAGAGGGCTGTTGAGCGATGGGACCCCAGGGGGCTGAGCCCTTTTTAAGAGTAGATCTTTTCTGTGCCCAAGATTCCTTTTTTTTTTTTTCTTTTTTGTAATTTATGTAAATAAAGTGTTCTTTTGTTGGTTGTGGTTTTTTTTCTTTTTTCCTTTTCCTTTTCTTCTTTTAAATGTGTTCCGCCTTTCCCCAGGGTTGGCTGAGCCTCAGAGGGGCACCATGTGTGCCCAGAACAGAGGTGGGGGCCTGACTGCACTTCTGTGTGCTTCCTCAGCCTCATGATGCCACTGTGCCTGATGCTCTGCGCTGCTCCTTGGTGAGCTGGATGCAGCCAGTAGAGGCCCTGCGAGAACTGACAATGAGCAGTAGCTGTGAGCACACTGGAGGGTCCTGTGTAGGATGCAGAGCCCCAAGCACAAAAGGTGCACAGGTGGCCCCTGAGAACTTACAACCTCCTGGGAAGGGATTTGCCTCCCACCTTCCTTCCTGCATCGAAGGTTTGTGTCAACATGAGGATAGGGCCAAGCAGCACTGGTGACAGTGTGCGGCTCTGTGTGGCAGCAGTCCTGTCACCACAGCGGGTATTTGTGACCTGAAGAGATGCTGATGCACAGAACGTAACCCCGGGGAGCCTCTCCTGCCTCGAAAAGTGCAAATGAGCCATGCATAAAGCCCACGGCAAGGCACCCTGCCCTGCTCCTAGTCAATCAATCACAGCATGGTTGTGCTGGAAGGGACCTCCCAGCCCCCAGCCCCACCCCTGCCATGGGCTGGCTGCCCCCCCAGCTCGGACTGCCCAGGACCCCTCCCTCCATG